TGATTCAGAATTTAAACTGAAATCATGTATAATTTTTGCTAGAAAAAAATATATAAAACTAACTTTAAATATAACTTCCTGTTAGCAAATAATCTTTATTAACTTAATAACGAACAGTTTAAGATTAACACCGGTCATAACCATAACTAATATCCGTTAGTTAAAGGTTTCTAACTGACTGGTTGATTAACGGATTTTGATAGATTTTGATTGATCAGTTGACCAAACATTTTTTAATTAGTAATCCAAGAATTCTTTGTATTTAATTAACAATTATTTTAATTATGTAATTTTTTATAAATAAAAATCTTTAATTTATTTTTTAAAAAAGTTATTTAAAGTTTAAATTAAAATTATCGATTAAGAACTTTAAATTATATTATTATTATATGGGCTGATCAACTGATCAATCTAATAAGTCAGTTAGTCAAATACCTTTGATTGACTGTTAACCGACCATTAACCAACTATTACTATTCCTAATCATTATCATCATAAGAATAGTTAAAAATAAAAAAAAAATCACAAAGCCTACCTTTTGTTTTAGCAAATTTTTCTTACAAAAGGCCTTACTAAAAGAATAAACACATGTCTAACTTTTTCATACCAGTTATTATTTTAGATTTCAATTAGTATGTTAGAATATTATTTATATATACTTTAAAAATCATAAAAAAAATTGGATTGCATTAAATTTTATAATTTCTTTGTATCGATCATTTCCTAAATATTAAATAGAATAAAATAATTATATGACAATGGAATGTGATTTTTAATACAATTGAATAAAAAATTGTCACTGAAAAGCCCATAATTATTTTAATAGAAGCATATCACAAATGAAATTTGATATCCTTTTGTCATTTTATGAGTACTCAATGTACAAAAGATAGATGCATTAATCCTTTTATAATTTTATAAGATTTGTATATGAAAAATTGGGCTATGACAAAAAAAGTGATAAATTAATTTCTGTGAATGCTTATTTCAAAAGTTAAGCAAAACTTAGCTTTGTAATTTTTCATGACTATTTTTTAATAATCACATTAAGGTAAAATAACCCAAATCTTCCACAAAAAAAATTAGTAATCAATACTTTTTACACAAAATAATAAATCAGTACCTTTTATAAAAAGTAAAATTACTCTAAATACGAAGAAGATTTTTAAAGATAGCTATGATTGATTAAGACATAAGAATCGCCTTTAATATACAAGTAAAACTTCAAACAAATATGCATTGCAATGTTAAATATATAGTAAAAGATAATCCCATTATATCGTTTATTGTGAATACAGTTTATCCAGAAGATTGGATTAAGTCAAATCTATGACATTTTATGGTAACTTGTTACTTTTAATATATTAAATCTATCTTTACTATGCAAAATAAAAATAAATTCTAATTATTTTCTTTAATAGATTTTTAGTAAAAAAATGGATTTACATTCTGATATATATCAGAACATTTAAATATATAATTCATATACTTGCAAATCTTATGTCAGACGATAATCATATCTTGATTCCGATAGATTAAATATAAAAATTTGGCATTATAACTAAACATGTGTTTAATAATTATTTAATTTATAATTTTATGATAATATAAGGCCTATTATATTATATGAAAAGCAATTATATGAATATATTTACGGAATCAAAATCTAGGTAATTTTCAAATGCTTTTTTAAATTTATTATATGACACTTTTTTTTAAAAGTTAATTTTTTGTTATGTTTTTTTTAATAGATCTAAATTAAATAATTCTAGTGAAAATAAGAATTGTAGTTAAAAAGTTTAAAATGGAGATATTTATTATTAGCAATACATAAGATTGATATTAGTAGACCAGATAATATAACAGTGATACCCATGTAAATCCAAAGCTAATGTTAGTATGCATATTATATCTGATCAAGATATTAATGAAATTGTGAAAACTGAAAATAAAATTAGTGTAATAATAAGATATTTTGTAGTCTCTATTAATAATTTGACAGATTGGTGGTTAGAAGATCCTAAAAATCAATATTTTAAAGCTGCAGAACAAGCAATAGAACAAGTAATTTTATTTAAGATAATTTTTTTTTTGTCATAATCTTGCACTCTTTTGTTATATAAAATAAACAATTAGATGTCTTGATTTTTATGGGTGTAACAAATTATAGATACAGTAATTATTTGTTATTTAATATATTAAATAAAATAATTTCTAATTAGTGATGTTAAATCACAAAATAAATTAATATTCACAATGATAATAATGATAAGATTATATGTAATCATAAAGTTATATTTAAAGTTAGTTTTATATATTTTTTTCTAGCAAAAATTATACATGATTTCAGTTTAAATTCTGAATCA